GACAGGGGTGTCTGGAGATCACTACGACCCTCGTGATGGTCAGATGCAGAATGATGATGAATTTACGCATTTATCAAAAAAATGTTCTTTTTGCAAGACAAATATTCATTTTCATGTTGTTGTTTTTAAGGAGCTGCAAAAAAATGTTCACAGAATCAAAATTGTGACTTTCATCAGGTTTATCGTCAGTTATGTTCTCAGCCATAAAGTATTTGTCATCATGTCTACAAAGTGTACAACATCCAGCACTGTGCAGTCTCTTTAGTTTTTACTTTAGTTCTCTAAGAAAACAGAAATTAACACAGAACCGTACAAATTTTTCGATGGCTGCACCAGGTGGGAACTTCAACTTAATTTTAAATATGGAAAGATTTGCAGCTGAAGCAGACACATTATTCAGTTTATACCTGATCTTCCTGATCCTATAAGGGAAGGCAAAGGTTACCTCCCCCCTCCCACACACAGTCATATAACACCTTCCATCGCTTTCCACCCCTCGCAGTCCCCCTTCCCCCTTCAGAAACTTTCTTCCCCTCTTTTTTCCCTTTCATGGGTGGAGGGTGGAGCCACCACAGCTGCCTAATTGCGATCAAATCAGAAGGGTTAGCAGGTGTCAATAACATCTATGTGTGCATGAGCATGATGCCATATCCATCTTCCAGTCATCTCTTACCTGAGTGCCAGCTGCCAGGTGTGTATGCAGGTGTGGGGTCCAGCATCAAAGATTGCCAGTGCAATGCAGCCTACAGAACGCATTCAATTAAAAGGCGGACCTGTAAAAATAGCAAGCTATCACAAGAAGAGGAGCTCTAATTAACTGCAAAATCTTAAACGGCAAAGTGGCAGGGAACTGAATCAATAGGGACTCACACACTTATTCTACATGTAACAAAACCAAAAATACTGATCAACCCTTAAAATAAAAATTACCAAACTGAAAAAAATAAACAAAAAAGACTTGAAAACCATGAACTAAAGTTTAACCCCCCCAAAAAACAAGGTCACATGTAGGCGAGCCGACACATACAGTGTGTGCTGTCTTGAACTTCAAATGACCGTCATAACAAAACAATATGGTGGATTGAGCACACCTACTTTTTACAAAATGAAGCATGGGACGGCCCAGTCACAGTGCCAGCTGTGACAAGTCACATGGTCCAAAACAACCCGGCTTTTCTAGCATTCACCAGCACAGTGTGTCAGACAGATCTTATAAGAATACATGTACACTCAGACTTCAATCACTAACTTTGACAGGACTCAAACAGAAAACCACACTTCAGTTAAGTGGACCAATACATGACATGTTGACTTGTATCTGCTGATCTGCTTCACTGAGTATCATGGCCACACTACATGTATGTGGCCAAATTAAATGCAAGGAAGGGGAACTCTAAACTACAGTCATTTGCAAAAGTTTAAGACCACCTGGAATTTTATTGGTATTTCTGTCACTGGGCCTGCATTACATTGTCTCATCGAATGATGTGTAACACCACTGCAGTAGTCCTATCTAAATACCCATTTGGATGAATTTTTTTGCAATGGCAGGTCTTGTACGATATTTTGTCTACAAGGCAGCAAAAAAAAAAGGACACGCTAAACATTAGACTGTTAACATTTCAAATCATGGAAATGTAGTCAAATAGCTGTTTAACCAAGATACGAAGTTTACACACTGAAAATAAACACAAGTTGGCATGATTGATTGGTTTGAGTTTGGTTTTTCTTCAGGTTGATGCATTTTGTATGAGTGGTCCTAAACTTTTGCAATGACTGTATTGGTATACTTCATACTTTTACAGGCATGAAAGCCTGAGGGGAGCTACTCTTACATTAAAAATAGATTCATTGAAACACATGATAGATGCTAGTTGAATGTACCTAATGTGGTGTGCAGTAATTAACGTTCTCAGAGATCACAACTGCTGGTGTCTGGAGCTGTACATGTGAATCTCAGTGAAGATCTTGAGCAAATTAAAGTTGTGACAAGATTATGGTTTCAAGATGACAAATAATTCACCAACAGGCATGATGGTCAGGAATTTGTCATTTGGGCAAACTGAACATGATAAACTGCGGGGTGAATTAATCAAAGAGGCAATTGAGAAATACATGTATGTGGCCGGGGAGCTTTGTTCCAATGTTTAAGCCTTCCTCCGGTTGTTTCTAGTTTAGGAGTAGGGCCATTTATACGGGGGTTTAGTCCACTAGACAGGCCCTAATGAAGTTGAGTCTTTAATGTGCCACTCTTCGACGTTTCCTTGACTTTCCTCATGCATCATTGCCAAACCTCTTTGCTGAAAAAAAAATGAATTCATTCAGTTACAGTGAATACTGATATTATACTCTTTAAAATACATGCCACAAATCACCTTTGTGAATATTTTTGGTGTCATGAAAACCTGAAATTTAAAAATGACAGCATCCAGAAATTGGCACAAATTCAGCTGACTGTTCCCTATTTGTGGCACACTTGAACAAATCTCTGAAAATTCCACATCCTACATAAGAAGTTCTTCAAATTTGATAAATTCCAGTATTACCCCTAAATATACATACATGTACAAACTTATTTTCAGAAAAGTAGGCGTAACATTATCAGTTACTTTCTTCACTGTGGGTACATTTTCAAAGCATTCATTTTGCACTTAAAAAAAACATTAAAATGGAATTTATCAGGTCAAAAGACCTACATACAGTACGTGATTGATGTAATTGCAAAGGCTTTGGAACTCAGTGCAGTACACAGTGACAGAAGCAAGTGAGAGAACTCGACATTTTTGTCATGTATGATCAAGGACGTAGGCCCATTTAAAGGTAGACCCCGTAAACGGGGCCCGACGTATACTCCTCCGTCATATACTTGGCCCTGTCCCGATTCATAGGGATTTCTTTTGAAAAACTTTATTTGGGAAATCCGGGGACATAACTAAACATCTGCTTGATTTTATGAGCTGAAATTGCACCGGTACATGTATGTTCACTACTTGCAGGGTAAGCTCTCCCCTAGGTTGCTAATTGTAGAAAAATTACCTTTTCCTCGTTTGGAGGAACAAAGTTGACGGCTGTTTCGTCACTTTCATATCACATCAAGCAGTGTGTGTGACTGGACGGGGAACCAGCCAAGGGCGTTGTGTATTAGCTGCACATGTCCGTATAGGACTATATGTGTAAATATACTGTAGAGTACATACAATGTTAGAATTCTGGAAATTCTTAAATGCCAAAGTTTGTCAGTCTAGCAAGAAAGACTGGGATTTTGCCTTCTCATCTGAGGTAATTAATGATGCATCCAAGTGCCTGGCCTTCCCAGCACCACACACTCACTTCGTTTTCATGCATGAGCACCATGGCAGTAAAGGTCCCATTGATCGATAAATATGGCTGCTTCTGGTAAAAATTTGGATAAAATCAGTGTGACCCCAGTTATTACTAGTCAATAAAATGGGAGAGGACGGGCCGGCTAAGATATCTTGATGGCGGTTTATTTCTGGAAAAACAGGAAATGGAGAGAAAATAAATAACAAGTCTTTCCTCGTCTCCGGTCAGCATTCGAAAAACGCTGACAAGGGTCCTGTTTACATAGCCTATTCTGATTGGCCGATGGATTGTAATCATAAAAGAAAATATTTAAATACCAGAAGGGTAACGGGCGAAACTACAAAATTATGAGGGGGGATCTTTTTTTCAATTCGGCGACATTCTCTCCTCTGTTTGGGAAATGGTGTCCTCGCCATTTGAGCTATTTACGATTAGTATACAATTTATATAAACAAAATTGTGTACAGAGGTAATCTAATCAATTAGACTACTAAAAACCTTATATATTAATTTTCCTCAAATTAAGTACATGTCATTCCGCCGCCTGGTGTGACTTGCACAATAAAATTTAAGAGGTTCATATTCACATAATACAAATATCACCCATACACTACGGATTACCTTCAATTCAGTCAATTCTGTACATAAGGAAGAAGAAAAAAATTAGACAATTGCTTAACTCCCGCACAAATTTAAATTTGCCCAGTGGCACATCTATTATACACTGGAAGGTCATAAAATTTCTAGCAGTCCTCTTCATTTGTACATACA